GATCGGCTTGCGGCAAGCCGATCGGCCCTCGCCGCTCTGGCCCCCCCTCCCTGCTCGCTGCTTCCCTCCCAAGCGGCAGCGGCAGTTACAGAGCGTCTCCTGCGCACGCGCAGGAGACGCTCTTGCACTTTCGGGGGGATTTAAACATCCCCCCAAATTTTTTTTAACTTTTTTTATTTTTGTGCACACGTGGGGACTGGCCCACGTGTGCACAAACCTCTCCCTTCCCCCCAGGTGCCCCCGAAGTGCAGATTTAGATATCCGCACTCCGGGGGCAACTTCAGCATTAGTATAAGGATGTTTTCTTTCATTTATATCTGCAGGCAATTTTATATCTTCGGTCAAATTTCAAAATTCAATAGAATTCCAGAATATTTCAGAGAATTACAAGGCTTTCTTAATGGGCAACCAGTCACAGTTTTCAGAAAAGCCACTCTATAACATTACTAAGCTGGTAAAAGTAAAGGTAAAGGTTCCCTTGCTCGGAAGCCAGTCAAATCCGACTCTAGGGTTGCAGTGCTCATCTCCGTTTCCAAGCCGAAGAGCCAGCGCTGTCCGAAGACGTTTCCGTGGTCATGTGGCCAGCATGACTAAACACCAAGGCGCACGGAACGCTGTTCCCTTCCCACCGAAGTGGTACCTATTTATCTACTTGCAATTTCTTGCTTTCGAACTGCTAGGTTGGCAGGAACTAAGCTGGTATTGCCTCCTAATGATGAGCAAAAAATGTATATATCTACAGACAATTGTTATGTCTAGCATCTGCTATTCACAGCCTTTGCCACGGTTGTTACTATTGAATGACATTTTTCTATGGCTAGTCTGCCATAGCATACAGTGCAGAAATTATTGGAGCAACGTAGTGGTGGGTGACGGCTTTCCTGCACTGATTACCTTTTTTCCACTCCACATGAAGGTACAAGTGATCCGTACGTGAAGTTTAAGGTGAATGGGAAGACGCTGTACAAAAGCAAGGTCATCTACAAGAACCTGAACCCTGTTTGGGATGAGATGGTTGTTCTTCCAATACAGTCCCTGGATCAGAAGCTTCGTATCAAGGTAATGTCTCGCTTAGAGTCACTGCTGAATTTTTTTAAAAAATTTTTTATTGAAAGATATGCAACAAAACAGCAAAGATAAAAAACACATTACAGGCAAACAACAGAATAGGAAGTGAAAACAGAACTGTAAAATCCAAGAATAGACAAGGAGTAAACAAGATACCCTCAAAACATTCCACAGAATAACCGTTGCATCCGTCAATATCAACCCAGCCCTCTTCATGCACAAAAATGGTGATTGAGCCTGAGAAAGTCATGAAGTGTTCTGTTAGCATCTCTATGACCTTTTTTCATGTGGATAAATAGCTAAAAATCTTTTTTCATGTGGATAAATAGCTAAAAACGGACCCAAGGAATGTAGGAAGCCTTTGCTGGAAGAATGTCATTTCCTGACATATAATGAAGAACCCTTGACCAGACCGCGACAAACCGCTCATAGCCTTTAGATGTGACCATAGCCGTGTTTTGCGTGACTTGTGTAAGTTTGTCTAAAATAAACTGATCCCACACTTTTTCAAACCAGGTTTGAATCTGGTTTGGAGGCTAACTGGCTTTCCAGGCAGAAGCAATGGCTAGTCTTGCAGCTGCTAACAGTTTTGGAAATGAGTTCCTTCTGGGCCTTGGTAGCTGAATTCTTTTGGCCACAGTGGAATCCTGAATCTGGTTTGGAGGTCCCCGGTGGAGTGAAATATCATAAGAATAAAGGAATCTGGGCTGCGATCACTTGCAATCCACTGTCAATGCACTTTTGAATTGGATTTTGCCAGTTCACCCAGTAAAAATCCAGTTAGAAAGTGCATTGACAGTGGATTGAAAGTGGATTGTTTAGTGTGTGTGATCACAGCCCTAGTGTGACAACCGGAAGACGTCTAAGTGAGCAGAACTAGAAAAACAGCCAATTACTGCCAGCTCGCGGTGTATTTATTTTATTTTTATTTACTTCAGTTATGATCTACCTTTTGCACTGAGACGTAAGGTGGATTACCTGGTGTTAAGTCAATGCAAACAAACATCCCCGAGGTATCAAATAAGCAACATGATAGGATTAGAATGACAAAAATTAGAACAATGCAAAAAAAGTATTAGAGACAATATGTCAAGATGCAGAAAACGGGATCACAAAAGGAGAAAACAGTGCTGTAAGTGCACCATTATGGGGCATGGGCCCTGTACTTTGACTTGATCTATCTGTTTTCATAACCCCACATATAAGCATTTGCATAGCTGGATTCCACTACGGGCATCTGATGAAGTGAGCCTCCAGTCCCCCACATCTGCTGCTGGGATCAAAACCTGTTGGTCTGGCTTGTCTCTACATTTCAGTTTAATTTTTTCCCCCATGGCAGACCAGAGCAGCGGGAGAAACAAACTAGGCTTCCACAAGACCTGAGCAATTTTTCGGGGATGGGGGGGGTGTCTGCAAGTCCATATTCTGAGCTGGGTCTTGAGGGTGGGTGGGGGATGTGGGGAAGAACAGAAACGACGACTGAGGGGTGACATGATCGAGGTTTACAAGATTATGCATGGGAAAGAGCAGGTAGAGAAAGAGGTACTTTTCTCCCTTTCTCACCATACAAGAACTTGTGGGCACTCCATGAAATTGCTGAGCGGTTGGGTTAGAACGGATAAAAGGAAGTACTTCTTCACCCAAAGAGTGATTAACACATGGAATTCACTGCCACAGGAAGTGGTGGCGGCTACAAGCATGGACGGCTTCAAAAGGGAATTAGATAAGCATATGGAGCAGAGGTCCATCAGTGGCTATTAGCCACAAGGTATAGATAGGGGCTCTGGGGCAAATGATGCTCTGTCTTCTTGGTGCTTGGGGGGGGGCAGCAGTGGGAGGGCTTCTAGTGTCCTGGCCCCACTGCTGGACCTCCTGATGGCACTGGTATTTCTGGCCACTGTGTGACAGAGTGTTGGACTGGATGGGCCTTTGGCCTGATCCAACATTGGCGTCTCTGATGTTCTAACCTGACACTTAAATTTTTGGGTGATGTCTACACTCAGAGATTGTTCAAAAGTAAGGTTTGTGCTTTCCTAAGCTGCCATGGTTACGGTTTCAAAACAGTGCCCAGTGTCATTGCTAGCAAATGGTTTGGGGAGCGTCCATTATCCCATGAGCCCATTCTCCTGCATACCAGTAAGATCAGGCCACCATGGGTTCACACACATAATCCAGAGAAGCCTGCCTCTGCGTGTCTCTGCATGAGTCCCTGGGTCTCACTATGCTCGCTAAGCTTCATGGCAATGCAGGAATTTGAACCTGTCTCCCTCAGGTCCTAGTCCAGCATGCTGTAAGCGAAAGATTCTGGCTTTGGTCTCTCGCACTGAAACTATTTTCCGGTACTGAACTGTTGTGTTTGGTTTTCCCAACTCCCTGTGCATCAGGTATACGACCGAGACCTAACCTCTTCGGACTTTATGGGTTCGACTTTTGTAAAGCTGGATGAACTGGAACTCAACAGGTATGCTCAAGACTTATTAACTGCAAGCATGTTACTCTCCCCCCCCCCCCCCCCCGCCATTTATAGCCTGCTTTGTTCACTGAAGGAGCTGCGGTGGCTCAAGTGGTTAAGACGCTGAACTGCAGGCTGTGGAAGGTCAGTAGTTCAGCAGTTCGAGACCCGGGTGCCGCATGATGGAGTGAGCTCCCATCTCTAGTTCCAGCTCCTGCCAACCTAGCAGTTCGAAAGCAAGAAATTGCAAGTAGATAAATAGGTACCACTTCGGTGGGAAGGTAACAGCGTTCTGTGCGCCTTGGCGTTTAGTCATGCCGGCCACATGACCACGGAAACGTCTTTGGACAGCGCTGGCTCTTCGGCTTTGAAACGGAGATGAGCACCGCAACCCTAGAGTCGGACTCGACTGGCTTTCGAGCAAGGGAACCTTTACCTTTACCTTGTTCACTGAGCAGCCTAAAAGCCCAAAGTAGTGTTTTCTCAATCAGAGCTTGGAAGCTAAGCCGGGTTGACCACAGTCAGTACTTGGAAGGGGCTGTGGCTCAGTGGTAGAATGTCTGCTTGGCCTGCAGAAGGTCCCAGCTTCAGTCCCCGTCATCTCCAGTTAAAAGTATCAAGTGGTAGTCGGTGATGGGAAAGTCCTCTGCCTGAGACCCCGGAGACCTGCTGCGTGAGTAGAGAAGAGGAAGAACAGGAAGAGGAAGAAGAGGAGGAAGAAGAGGAGATTGGATTTATACCATGCCCTTCACTCAGAGTCTCAGAGAGGCTTACAATCTCCTTCCCTTCTTCTCCCCACAACAGACACCCTGTGCGGTAGGTGGGGCTAAGAGAGCTCTTTCAAGGACTGCTCTTGAGAGAACAGCTCTGAGAGAACTTGTGAATGACCCGAGGTCACCCAGCTTGCTGTATGTGGAGGAGTGGGGAATCAAACCTGGTTCTCCCAGATTAAAGTCCACACTCTTAACCACTACACCAAGCTGGCTCTAGTTCCCGAAATCCTGATGGACCAAGGGTCTGATTCAGTGTACGGCAGCTTCATGAGCACATGTGTGCTAGGAAGACTACCAAGGGTGAGTGGGGTTGCTATGCAACCACCTCCGCTCATCTTTTGCCTTGAAAACCCGGTGCTCATAAGGTCTCCTTGAGTTGGTTTGCGACTTGACCATTTGTTGCTCACTGTGACTCAAGGTGGATGAGAGAATAGGTAAAGCAATACGTTTATACAGCAAAGAGCTCCTTGTCTTAAGCAAACTGTCAGAGGCATGACACACCTCAATGGAGAAAGTGGATTGCAAAGGTAGAGCAGTAAAGAAAGAGAAAGGGATGTGTGCAATGAATATTGCTATGGACTACGATGCCATCCGTACTAGAAGCAAACTCCTATTTTGTTACTTTATCCTTCCTCACTGAAAAAAAAAATAAATGTTTCTAAATGCTAGCTTGCGGAAGTTGTTTAGAAAATGGCTTGGTGTTATTCTAGATATGAAACAGGGGCCCCGGTCACACGGGCCGGATATCGCGGGGGGGGGAGGCGTGGCTGTTTGCCCCACAGCGAAATTACGCGCGACTGCGCGATCAGGCATCCCCTCGCGGTCCCGTCGAGGTCCCATGGTTAGGGGGGAGGTGCCAATCACACGACGCGCCAAAGAAGCGGCCCGGCACGACGGGGTTGTGTTTGTTTTTTTAAATTGAACCGGAAGTATGCGCATGCCCCATTGGGTACTTGTGTGCATCCCTGGAGACTTTAAAAAAAAAAAACCTTTTCCCAATGGGGCATGGGCGGGCGCTGGATACCACCGGAAACTCGATCAGACGCCTGCCCTTGCCCCGCGGTTTCCGGAAACTAGTACCTCCGAGGTACTAGTTTTTAACTGCGCGTCTTCGGCGGGAAGCCTCGGGATCGCCACGGGAACTCTGCGCTTCCCAGATGTGGCGGTGAGATCGCACCCGGAAAATCCGCCTATCTTCCGTCACAGTAGCGTGGCTACTGCTCCGTGTGACCGCAGCCAGGGTTGGTTTGGTTTTTTTTAAATCAGAGCTCTAATGTGACTTGTTCAATCCCGACCCCTTTTCAAGTTTTGCCTTTAAGGTTAGATGTTGAAAGATACTTATGGAAAACAAACGCCAAGCACAGATCTTGCCGACAAGTTCAAGATGACAGTGCTAAGTATCAGCTTGCTCAGCTGGTTACTGTCTTTCCCCTGATTCCGTAATTAGAAATGTTGAAAAAAGAATCTGCAAGCAACTGCAAATTAGAAGTTTTTTTAAGAAATGATTTTGCCCTTAAATTCAGCTTGGGTCTATTACACCAGTCCCTTAAAAAAGCCTTGTATATATCTAATGCTGCTGTCACAGTCTGCGGTGATCTGGGATCCCAGGAACGTGAGGTCTGTCACTACTTCCACGACTTCCCCTTCTATTTGCCAAGGAGTGAGGGGGCCGGATGCCATAATCTTAGTTTTTTTGTTGTTGAGCTTCACGTTCCTGGGATCCCAGATCAAAGAAGATGGGGACGGCAAAGGATGAGATGGTTAGACAGTGTCATAGATGCAACGAACATGAAGTTGAGCAAACTTCAGAGGACGGCGGAAAACAGGAGGGCCTGGCGAGATCTTGTCCATGGGGTCGCGAAGAGTCGGACTCGACTGTGCGACTGAACAACAACAACAAAAATATATCTAATGTGCAGCCTTAGTTCATTGTTTGTTCTTGATGTTTAGAAATAATCCTGGGCACAAAACGTGGTTATAGCTGGAAAGAAAACCAAGAGCTTCAAGCTCTTCCCTCCCGTACTTTCATCTCCAAAACAGTCTCCATCCTTCATTCCATTTCCCCTTTGCATCTTCCCAGGGGCGGATGAAGACTCACTGGTGCCCTCAGCGCTGGCCAATCTTGGTGCCCCCCCTCCTTTCCACACTGGCCCAGTCCATTTTAGTTGTTGACCTGTCTGACCAGATAGACAATGCAGGTTGCAGCAATACAAAAATGTATTCATAAGATAACACAATAGACTGTACAAACTAAGCCAAGCTTGGGCTGCATAAAGTTCTACAAAAATGCAATACAACATCTATTTTAATATTTCACAAGTTAAATGTATCAAAGTTTCGATATTCACCCTTTTCCCAACTTTGCGGTGCCCCCTTTGGCCCTGGTGCCCTAAGCACGTGCTGAATGGTTAATCCGCCCCTGCATCTTCCCCACTGTCAAAATTTAGATCACAGGTGCTTTAGAACAGGAGATTTGCTGGGTGAATCATTGACCGTGAACACACGGGCAGTTTGGCCCGACATAGCCACTCCTCCCCTCTGGATCCAGTGGGCGCATTTCAGCAATACTCCATAGGTGGCAATAATGATGGTGTTCCCACTTTACAGGACTGTTGAGAAGATTCTTAAACTGGAAGATCCAAACAGCTTGGAGGAAGACATGGGCGTGGTTGTCTTGGAGTTGAGGCTAGCCGTGAAGCAGGCAGACATTAAAAGAAACGTAAGTAGCCCAAGAAATTGTGGGCCTCCCTGGGGCCCCAGAGTTCCCGCGCGGCCCTGGTAGGCTGGTGACAGCCGTAGCAGGGGAAGCTGGGGGCGGGGCTTGCTGCCGCCGCCATTTTGACACCTCCTGGGCTCCCGGAGCGGCGCTCCGGCATGCTCCGGCCCCAAAAGACCCCTGCTTCAGATTAGAGTCTGCTGCTCTTAACCACTACACCAAACTGGTTCTCCAGCTAAAAGGTTCTAGGTTCAGTTCCTGGCATCTCCAGCTACAAGAACCAGGTCAAAGGTGTTGGGAAAGACCTTTGCCTGAGATTTTGGAGTTCCTCCGCCCTGATAGATCAGGCACCTGATTCAGGATAACACAGCTTCATGTGTTTGTGTATCCCCAGGGGATGTTGGTGCATGGGCATGTCTGATATGGCCCATGTCAGCTGAAGATGGGTTAGCTCTGGGGCAGGGCTCAAGTGTACTCTTGCCATAACCATTTGCCCCACTACAGTGGTGGACTTAAATAGCGCTACAAGGTTAGAAAATAGTGGGGTCTTGTTTGTGTAACTGGAGGCTGAATGCAGTAATATCATCTAGGAGAGGGTCTGTGGCTCTGTGCATTAGCCTCTGCTTTGTGGTTCAATCCCCAGCCTCTTCAGTGAAGGAGGCGGAGGAGGAGGAGGAGGAGGAGGAGATTGGATTTATACCCCGCCTTTCACTACCCAAAGGTGTCTCAGAGTGGCTTACAAACTCCTTTCCCTTCCCCTCCCCACAACAGACACCCTGTGAGGCAGGTGGGGCTGAGAGAGCTCTTGACAGAAACTGCTCTTTTCCAAGAACAGCTCTTATCAGAACTACGGCTTGCCCAGGGTCATCCAGCAGGTGCAAGTGGAGGAGTGGGGAATCCAACCCGGTTCTCCCAGATTAGCGTCCGCTCACTTAACCATGACACCAAACTGGTTCCCAGGAGGAGAAGGAGGAGGAGGAGATTGGGTTTATACTCCGCCCTTCACTACCCAAAGGTGTCTCAGAGCGGCTTACAAACGCCTTCCCCTTCCCCTCCCCACAACAGACACCCTGTGAGGCAGGTGGGGCTGAGAGAGCTCTTGACAGAAACTGCTCTTTTTTCAAGAACAGCGCTTATCAGAACTACGGCTTGCCCAAGGTCATCCAGCCAGGTGCGAGTGGAGGAGTGGGGACTCAAATCCGGTTCTCCCAGATTAGAGTCCGTGAACTTAACCACTACCCCAAACTGGCTCAGGATCAGGTAGTAGGTGATGTGAAAGACCTTCAGCAGAGACCCTGGAGAGTTGCTGCCGGTCTGTGCAGACAATACTGACCTTGATGGACCCAGGGCCTCAGTCAATATCAGACAACTTCACATGTGTTCGTATCATTTCCGGTAGGAGGGGAGTGGTCCCCCCCCCCAATAGTCTTTATGAAGGTGGCTGTTTTCCTTCGTCACATAGAATGAGCAATCCAAGCGATGGCCTGGTCTTTGTTTGTGGGCCTAGCCATGACACAGTCGGAAACTTGGTCTGTGACAGAAGATGAGACAGCTTGGTTGGTCTTCCCGAGGGTGCTTGCAGGCCAGAAATCCCGTCCTTGGTGCTTTCAACTATCCATGCTACGGCTCGGTTCAAAACACATGACTCATTCTCACAACCCTTTTTTGTCTCTTTCTCTCTCTTTCGGGTTTTCCCTTGGATGACTCGGTTTGGGCCGATACGGTTGCGGCGTACAGAAGTGGACGAACCGAAGAAAGCTCTCTACGCCAAAGGTAATTTGCGTTCAGCCTCCAACTCGAGTTTTCACTCCAGTCCACGAGAGCTTGAAATGTGTACATGAGAACCGTGTTACGTAGCTAGACATCCACAAGACAACCGAGGGCAGTAAAACAATGAAAGAGAGCCCTGCTCAGTTCGACTCAAGGTCCATCTGCTCTGGTAGATCATCTTCAGTGGTGGCAACTCAGATTGTTCGCTCAGACTTAAAATTTCGAGGCACGATAAATCATACTGTCAGATTCTCTCTTTCTCGTTCCCCTGCCTTTCCTGTAATGGGGTTTGTACCATATCTTTTTGAAGTAGAGCTAGTTCCTCCCAGAATATGTCAGCAGGTCTGTTGGACTCCAGTAACTTCTGAGATTCTAAAGGCCGAACTCTCTGTGATGTTGGAGTTCTGTGACTGACCCTCCGCATTTTGAATTTTGGGCCTTAAAAAACAGCACCAGTCCAATCTGGGTCTGGTCTATAGCATGCCAGAAGGGAGGTGAAAAATACTGGGTTCGACGCATGGAGAACTCAGACTACGACATGCGTTCAGACCAATGTTCCCTCTAAGCTGTGGAGTCTTGTGAGCAAAAAATCTACTTTGTGAGCTACTGACATTAAAGTTGTGAGCAAGTGATTTGGCTACTGCATAAATTAGTTTGTTTGGAGCCATCCCTCCCGAGCTGAGACAAAAATCTGTGAGCCAGAGGCTAAAAAACTGTGAGCTAGCTCACATTAACTCAGCTTAGAGGGAACACTGGTTCAGACATGTTTATTGTACTTCACAACAAGACATGGAAAAATGGCCCTGCCAGGCCAACTATATACACTCCACCCGGCACACCTCTGTCCCCATTGGAGGGTTTGAATTTCCTGCCAAGGGTGCTAATTGGTGGACTCTAGGTGGACTAGGATCCTAGGTCCCCTTTCTGTTTGGGGATTTAGGATCCTGTTTAGCCACGGACCCCTGGTGGTGGTCCGCATACATAACACACTTCCCTCCTTAGTTCTGGTTCAACCTATGTTTACATAGTCCTGCGGATAGGCAGGGGGGTCTGCGCTCTCGGAGGGAACGCCAGGGCGCTGGCACGGGGTTGCTTGCAGCCGCCTCTGGCTGGCTGGCCACGTCTGGTTGTTGCGAGGGTGGCGGCGGTGGCTGCTCTTCAGTTTCTGGCGGTGTGGCCGGGGGCTTGACTGGTGGGGGCTCACCTGTGCTGGGGGGTTCTGGCCGAGCTCTTGCCTACGTTGCATAGAGTCCCACTACTGAGACGGACTTTTCCCATACTAAGCTGAAAAGCAGCATGGGAGGGCATTTTGATTGCGAAAAAAAAGGCTGTGTGCAGCGTTCCCTCTAAGCTGAGTTAGTGTGAGCTAGCTCACAGTTTTTTAGCCTCCGGCTCACACATTTTTTACTTAGCTCAGGAAGGATGGGTCCAGAGCAAAGCTAATTGATGCAGTAGCCTGATCGCTCGCTCACAACTTTGATGCCAGTGGCTCACAAAGTAGAATTTTTGCTCACAAGACGCCACAGATTAGCAAAAAAGGGGGGGGGGGGGGTGCTATGTGGAAGAGTTCCCGCCCTCCTTTCCCAGAAGAATAACAGTCATTTCAAAATCAGTGTCTAGGGGCCGTTTTGTGGGCAGCAGGCAGTCATCTCCACTTGGAGAAGCCCGGAGATCTAGTGGACGGGATGAGAGCAAGAGGAGAGGTTCTGCTGTGCAGTCGGGCTTCCCTTAGGGTTGCCAATCTCCAGGTGCCCCCTTGAGATCTCTCAGAAATCTCCCAGAAATACAGTTTCCTCTAGAGAACCAAGATCAGTTTCCGCGGAGAAAATGGCTGCTTTGGAGGGTGGACTCTATGGCATTGTACCTTCCTGAGGTGACCAGGGCTCTACTGGTAGCAGGAGCTCCTTTGCATATTAGGCCACACACCCCTAGTGTAGCCAATCCTCCAAGAGCTTACAATAGCCCCAGTAAGAAGAGCTCTGTAAGCTCTTGGAGGATTGGCTACACTAGGGGTGTGTGGCCTAATATGCAAAGGAGCTCCTGCTACCAGTAGAGCCCTGCTGTGAGGTCCCTCCCCAAACCCCACCCTCCCCAGGTTCTATCCCCCAAATCTCCAGGTATTCCCCAAGACAGAGTTGGTGACCCTGCCCCGGTTGCTGTAGGGCAAGGGGGAAGTAGCCAGGGATGGATCGGCTATGGAGGGAGATGTCCCTCTAGAATGATGGCCCGCCCCAGGCTGCTGGGGCAACCACAGCCCCGAGCAAGCCAGTGACCCCCAGGCCTGCATGCCCTGTGGTATTTCTCCCTCTGTCAGGAGTGTGTGGAGCCGTTTCCAAGGACCATTTTTTGCCTCCCAGTCTCCCTCTGGGATCCTGCCAACCTAGCAGTTTGAAAGCAAGAAATTGCAAGTAGATAAATAGGTACCACTTCGGTGGGAAGGTAACAGCGTTCCGTGCGCCTTGGTGTTCAGTCATGCCGGCCACATGACCACGGAAACATCTTCGGACAGCGCTGGCTCTTCGGCTTGGAAACGGAGATGAGCACCGCAACCCTAGAGTCGGATTTGACTGGCTTTCGGGCAAGGGAGACCCTTACCTTTACCTCCCCCTGGGAGCAGCCCGGGCACCTTCCCTTCTTAACACAACAGCCGCCTACACAACAGCATTCATAGGTTCAAGGGAGATTTGATGTGTCGGTTGATCGGCCTTCCGACTCGACCGCCGCCGTCTCTTTCCTGTTCCCCTTTGCCAAAGGGGGCGTTTTGGCTTGCCACTGGGTTGTGCCCAGAATAGGACAAAAGCAGTTTTAGAGCTCAGCTTGTTTTCCTTTCTCCAGCAGTTTTGCAGGGGTCGTGGGTCAAGGTGACGGGAGTCAGACTATGCCAGGGGTGGCCCAAGTGTGGCTCGGGAGCCACATGCGTCTCTTTCACACATTTTGTGCAGCTCCCGGCAGGGCAGCCGGGGAAGCTAAATATCATTAGCAAACAAAAAAATCATTGGGCGAATAAATACCGTGATCTATATCTGCTTTTATCCCTTTTTGTTATTATTTTTGGACATCTCTCTTAATGTTAGGAAAAAGCAAATCTGCATATTCTCCCAGTTAAAAACATGTAATATTTGTTCATGCCTTGCAGCTCTCAAACATCTGATGTTTATTCTGTGTGGCTCTTATAGGGTTGCCAAGTCTGGTGTTGCACCGCAGCGGGGGAGTCCCGGCTGGCGGCTGGAGTGTGTGCGCCGCACACACATCACCCGGAAGTGACGTGACGACGCTGGGCATGCTGGGGGCGGGGCCACGACCACCCGAGGGAAAACCATAGAGTTTTCCCTCGGATGACCGTGGCCCCACCCCCAGCGTGGTTGCATCACTTCCGGGTGATGTACACGTCGGGGTGGGGCTCCCTCCAGGGCCCGATCCGCCAGCAGCAGGGAACGGGCCTCTGGGGCAGGGGTTTTCCCGCCCCCTGGGGGGACTTGGTAAGCCTAGGCATTTAGCAAGTTTGGCCAACCCTGGACTATGCCAATCACCTTCTTGACTCCTCCCCATGGAATGCTGGTTTCTGGGGCAGCCCCAGAGATCTTGACAGTGCTGTCAGATGGGGGTGTAGCCCCATTCCATTGACTTATTTACTTCCTGTGTGCCCTGCCTTTCTCCCCAGTGGGGCTCCAAAGCAGCCTACACCTTTTGCCTCTCCTCCATTTTATCCTCACCACAACTCTGTGAGGTTGGCTAGGCTGAGAATGCGTGATTGGCCCAAGGTCACTCGGCAAGTTCCCATGGCAGAGTGGGGGATTTGGACCTGGGTCTCTCACATCTTAGTCTGATGCTCTAACCGCCACGCCGCAGTGGCTCTCGCACTGTGTACCTTTTGTGTACCAACAGAGAGAGGGGTCCACTGGAGGGCCGGATTTGTGGTTAAAGGAAGGGGGGTTGGGTGTGTGTGCAAATGCACGCGTAGACGAGCAAGAGGAGTGCCACAAGGTATAGATAGGGACTCTGGGGCAAGTGATGCTCTGTCATCTTGGTGCTTGGGGGGGGTCAACAGTGGGAGGGCTTCTAGTGTCCTGGCCCCACTGGCCCCACTGGCACTGGTATTTCTGGCCACTGTGTGATACAGAGTGTTGGACTGGATGGGCCTTTGGCCTGATCCAACATTGGCATCTCTTATGTTCTTATGAGTGATGCATATTGCTGGAGACTTCAATCTTGAAATAATCAGCTCCGTAGATCGAGTCGATCCCCTGGGCATGGAGTAAAGACTCAGCTGACGAATGCTGAATAACAATAGATGGATCAAGAAGAAGTGAGCAGTGACCAATGCTCCCTCTAAGCTGTGGAGTCTTGTGAGCAAAAATTCTACTTTGTGAGTGACTGGCATTAAAGTTGTGAGCCAGCGATTTGGCTACTGCATAAATTAGTTTGCTCTGGAGCCATCCTTCCTGAGCTAAGACAAAAACGTGTGAGCTGGAGGCTAAAAAAAATGTGAGCTAGCTCACACTAACTCAGCTTAGAGGGAACACTGGCAGTAGCTCATCCTGCCACAAATTTTGTGAGTTTTTAAGGTGCTACTGGACTTTTACTCTTTTCTGCTTGAAACAGAGTGCAGAGGTTGGAAGAAGAGGAGGAGGAGGAGGAGATTAGATTTATACCCCGCCCTTCACTCGGAGTCTCAGAGTGGCTTACACACTCCTTTCCCTTCCCTTCCCCACAACAGACACCCTGTGGGGTAGGTGGGGCTGAGAGAGCTCTTTTCAGAACTGTCCTTGAGAGAACAGCTCTGACAGAACTATGGCTTGCCCAAGGTCATCCAGCAGCTGCAAGTGGAGGAGTGGGGAATCAAACCCGGTTCTCCCAGATTAGAGTCCGCGCACTTAACCACGACACCAAACTGGCTCACCAAAAGGATTGTACCAACTCAGAGCTAGTGGTAGGATAGTTAGCATGTCAGGCTAGTATCTGGAAGACCCAGGGTTGAATCCTCACTTGTGCCATGGAAGCCT